CAATACCAACAAGGGAACGTGAAACACAAATGATAAACCAAAGTCTAGGAAAATAATGCGCAAGCTTGGTTAGCGCTGATAATTCTGAAGTGGGTTGAATCAGTAATATTCAAAACTATTGTTTGATGTGTTTTAACATTACTTTCAAAAAAAATGAAGTTTAACTCCAACAGCAAAATCGTTTTAAGAGGTAAACCTACTGAACTAATTCAAACCACAATTAAGTCATCCAGCTGCATTTCTTCAGGTCTTCTAAAGCTTCTACCAGAAGCTTTCAGACTTGTGGAAATGAGGGCACATACACTTATCAGAGGAGAGAAATGAAAACCGCTACATTTCAATTTTTATACTATATGAAAATAAAAGCATCAGTTGTCAACCCAGACAACCTGGGTTACTCCTCTACGCCGCTCTAGTGAGACCCTACCTGGAGTACTGCATCGAGCTTTGGAGTCCTCAGCACAAGAAGGACATGGACCTGTTGGAGACAGTCCAGAGGAGGGCCACAAAGATGATCAGAGGGCTGGAGCACCTCTCCTATGGAGACAGGCTGAGACAGTTGGGGTTATTCAGCCTGGAGAAGAGAGGGCTCCGGGGAGACCTCACAGTGGCCTTCCAGTACCTAAAGCGGGCCTACAAGAAGGCCGGAAAGGGACTTTTTACAAGGGCATGTAATGATGGGATGAGGCATAATGGCTTCAATCTGGAAGAGGATAGATTTAGATTAGATATCAGGAAGAAATTCTATACTCTGAGGGTGGTGAGACACTGGAACAGGCTTCCCAGGGAAGCTGTGGATGCCCCATCCCTGGAAGCGTTCAAGACTAGATGATCTTTAAGGTCCCTTCCAACCTAAACATTCTATGATTCTACAACTGCTTAGCCAAATCTATATTCTTTACCGGAATTCAACTTCTACTAGCATAACTTTTAGGCAGCGGCATTTTGAGGAACACAATGAAAGGGTATGGTATTTGAAAACTAAGCACACTCACAAATTTTGCTTTAATAGAAGCCATTGTTATATTTAAGATCTTAAATCAAAAGCACTGTCTAGCTACCTCATGCTTAGGATGACAACTGTGCATTCAGAGGCTCATCTTGAGTGTGACAGATAGCAATCAAATTTTCTTTTTTGTTTCAATCAACATCCAGCCACAGAAATACTTTCAGTCAGAAGCTATGGGGAATTAACTTTAAAAAAAATAAAACTAAAATGTGTTCATTTTAGGTGACAAATATCTTTAAAACAATATTATGTAGAAACTTAACACCTTTCTTCAATAGCCACAGCCACCTAGGAGCCACGTGGGATGGAGCTGACTGTCCTCTAGACCTCTATGCCTTCCAGTACTGCTTAGGTCATGCCAAAGGTGGTTTCTGATCTCTTTACGGTCAACAAAAACAGTCTCTCAGCACTCTGCAAACAATTTCACATCTGACTACAATACACAAGTTCTTATTTTGGATACATTCTCCATATTCTTCACGGAAACAGAAAAGTACAAAAACCACTGGCTTAAGGATAGAGGGGATTTCAGACATGACACACAGCAAAGTGGTACGCTTACACATCTTTGCACCATGCAGATGTCATGTCTGTGAAAGAGCCGTGTGGTCACTCATGAATCCTGACACACATGCAGCCAACACTTTAACGGAGGTCAGTCACGTGCAAAGTAGTTTTACCCATGTGAGTATCTGCAGCCTTCGCTGGATTAGTTGGGTCTTCAGTTAGATTAAATCAAGCCCATGAAGGTTCTCGCGTGCTTAAGTATTTGTGGCACCAGGTACTAAGGCAGAACAGACACAGCCCAGAGTCTTTCTGTTTGTTTTTTTGAACACCCAGGTGGAGCATCCTTACCTCCTGACTCCCTGGTACCCTCGATTTTCCCACAAGCAGGGTGGTGGGAATAGTAACGGTTAAAATAACAACTGCAAGCATTTTCTGCAACACTAGGTGTAGTAAGTGGGGGAAACACATCTTAGCCTGGAAATTCAGGGTAGTGGATTTCCAGAGAAACTGGAGCTAACTACTCGATAAAGATTTACGAATGATATGCAATAAGGAGCCACGAATGTGAGAATGTGTTAGAACAGGCCAGATACAAGAACACTTCTACTTGTTTCCAAGAACACTGGGCTTATCACTCAGAACTTACCTTGCCTGCTGTTGCACAACGCTATCATTATGGGGACAAAACCCCCACCTCAAATACATGTATTATTTTAAAATAACATTCTATTCTCTCCCCTTATACATAGTGCTAACAGAATATAAAAATGCATTAAATAAGCCTCAGACCTTAATTGTCAGTGCTGAAAATCTCCAAGTTGATTCAGTTGCCAATTTGCCACGCGTGCAAATGTGCAAATGAGAGCTGAGGTTTTCTTCCTTTCAGAAAAAAAGGCAGTATGTTGTTGGGGTTTTTTTTAATTTTTTAATTGATGTGATACCAGCTAAGAAGTGTTTCCAATTTTACACCTTGTTTTCTGTTTAAAGCCATTTCTCCTGCTTCAACCCAGAGTGTAACATGAAATTAAGTCACAGATTTTGAAGTCTCCATATGTGCTTAGAAAGCCAGAATGTTCTTCCCGTTGGCAGGGGCAAAGCACCAGTTCCTTGCTCACAAGTGAAAAGTTTGCTAAAAGCAAGTATCTCCCATTTTTGAAGCATCGTGCAGTTGAATAGAACTGTATCATCAAAATAACTTTTTGGAGAACTTAGGTTCCCAACTTCAGCTTAATTGTTTTTAACGTACCATAGGTATTTATCAGTCTAAGATACCAATTTTAATGTAACTTATCTTGCTGCCTTTACCTGAAATGATCTGTTGTTCATTTCGATGAGACTGGCTATGCAGATGAAAAATGACATTAAAAAAACCCAAGCCTATATATAATCACATTTGATTTGAATATGCAAAGATTGTTTCAGGAATCCTTAAAAAGAAAAAAAAAAAACAAAAACAAGCAAAAAGTTCACAGCGGACCTCTGATGGTAAAAGAAAAAAAAGTAAGATTAATTGTGGAGTGAGCAAAATGCTTTTGGAAAATTATACTTTTAGAATTTGTATATTTATGCTTGAATAGTCAAATATATGCTTGTATCTGCTCTGATTTGAGAAACAGAGTGAGCGAGAGAAAACAGGAAAAAAAGAAAAAAGCCATCTTTTTCAACTGTGTTAGCCATCATCTGGATTATAACCACCCTTGTCTTTCAAGCCGAAAAAGCAGTTTGCTTTAATAATAAAAAAATATAATCGATAGTCCTATATGTCCATCATCTTAAAATAGATACAAAAAAAGTGTAGAATTTAAAATTGCTATACACCTGATACAGAACCACAGCAATGCCATTAATGGTCCCATTTCCAGGCATAATTCAATACACGCCAACAAGCTGGTTTTGCACGACATGGAAAAACACGTCAAAACAAACTAAAAATAAAACCCCATACCACCCCATTCACTGATGTGTGTTTTGCTGTCTTTTCTTGCTTTGGTAATTTCAGGTGTTCTGAAATGGTTTGCGTCACCAGATGCAACTCAATGAGAAATGGCAGTCACATGAAGAAAAAGGAAACTATGCAAACAGTTCAAGTTTTTCTTCCTCCGCTCTAGAGAACAGTCAATTTTCAGAACCAGTATATATTCATGTTTGTTTGCATCTGGAAGTTCAACTAATAGCGATCATGAGATGAAATGTACTTAAGAGGGAAAATACCAACCTGGAACTAAGCTATGATCAGTTCTAATCCAACCTTCTTCCAAGTGTTCTTTCTGTGATGAATTCTTGAAGCACCTTTCTATCATTTGAAATGGTACCCACCCGCCTTTCTAAAAGTGATTTGCTGTTTGCTATTATGGAGAGGGGATCCGAAACCAAGGTTAACCAAACTTTTTGGCTGTGGAAACTTTACTGTGGAAAGGAATATAAAACTCTCTCATAAATTTACTTGTCAGCAGCAAAAAGACTCTTCAAGTGTCTTAACCACTGTACAGCTCGATAGCTTTAATACTTCAACTTTTTTTTTTTTTTCCATTTTTCATTGTTGAAGAAATAATTTCACAATCTCAAATCAAAGTCAACACTGCAGTGAGGAGAGCTTTTCTACTTTATTACAAAGAGAAGAAGCCTTTATGTGGTCAGAAAATACAAGATTGATCTTTTTTTTTTTTCTCTTCCTATGAAACGCTGCTGTTCAAACAGCCAGAGTGAATTGTCTCAGTTCACTTCTTTAAGTCCCATCACATTCACTTGGGTATGGATGTCCTTGGCTGCTGAAAATCTGGCCCTTTAGTGCACAGGGCGACAAAGTAGTCCCCTGACCAGCAGTTCCAGAATGTCCCGTTTTCATATATTGCATCCATGCACACCTCCTAAAAATGAGGTACAGCAGGGCAAACATTTTCCAAAATAGATGTCATATATATAATATATACACATTCGTACATACATACCTTTATTCATGTGATGTCCAAAAATTTAAAAAAAATGTACACATTTATTACAAAATCGTAACAAAGACTGGACAGTGTTTTGCTCATTCTGGAAAGATGAAGCTCAGTAATACACAACTCTGGAAACTAACCAGAGACTGTGGCAATATCTTTCTTCTAAACAGTCAGATATTCTTGCATTAAGCTTGGCGAAAACTGCCTTTCAAAAACAGAAGGGGAAGTAAAATGAAGGAAGCAAACCTTGCTCATCTTTCCAAATGAAATACGAGAAGGATCTTCACATAAAAATGCACAAACATTTTTTATTACCAATAGTGCTACAATGAACAATGCAAATTTTGTTGTCTAATTTTTTGTCTTTTTTCTTTTTTTTTGTTTTTACATTTTGGAAAACTAAGTGGTAAACTTTTGTCAGTGTACTCGCTTGTCTTTACAGACCCAAGCTTGTCTGCTGGCAAAAAAAAAAAAAAAAACCAAAACAAAAATTCAGACCCTGCTCAAACTAAAGAAAAACAATTACAAATTTAGTTGTTGGGCAGCACATAATTAGTAAGGCAGGACCTCAAATGGTGACCCTTCGCATGAGCCAATTGCCAGATCCTCAAGGAATTAAAACCAGGATGCCTGAGCCACATCAGTTCTGCAGTTATGTTGAGTATTGTGCTGAGACAGCCATACCCCAAGAAAAGGGAAGTCTTTAGAAGGCTTGCTGAGCAGGGTTGTAGTTGAAGGTTGATGGCAGATGAGGCCTTTCTTCTAATTTGTCGTATTCCAGATGGAACTCCTACAGTGAAAATAAAAAAAAAAAAAAGACAAAGCCAAATAAAACAACGTATCATTTACCTGTCGAGACCATGCCTTTCTACCAGCCATATTTGAAATGCAGAAATACAGAAGAGACCAAGTTCTAACTTATCTTAAGGCAGAAACACATGATTTTTGCTATCTTGGATTCTATATTTTAAGTAGAAAAAAGTCAATATCCTAGCCCATTATACCTGCAACAGGTAAGCTCTCCTAGTCTTTTTAATGCAACACTACTCTCGGAACCCTACTTAGGATATCAAACAATTTTATATAGGCGCACACAAAAAACACAAATACACAATTACGGCATGAGCTGAATTACGAATAAAAAGCTTCTGTCTTTCACCGCGTCAGACATACAGAGACTTGTTTTGGATGACCTGAAGTTTGGGGATATTTTGCAGCGTACTATCAGGCCCAAATGTAAGTTAAACTAGCTAGGTTTCTCCTTAGGGAACACTATCTAAAATCCCAGAGACAAAGTACTGAGACTCACTTGAGGCAGAATTTAACAAAATATTCCATCACATTTCATACTCAGATTTAAGCTCCAAACTCACCCAACCCTCCTGTACATCCTGAACTCCTTGCTCCTATGTCCTTTCATGAGGAATTCTCTCAGTGTTCTATAAACGACCACACAGAATAAAAATCTTTGCCCATGTACTTGGATGCCACTGGTTAACAAATAAGCAGCTTTATAGTCTCACCGGCAGAAACACCTGACTTTCGTTTGAGGGCGTACTGGTTTGCATAGTTACAAAACATTTCGGTGATCCAGTAGGAATTCCTGTCCTGACTACAGCAGCTACTACAAGAGAGATTGTAACCACCCTTGATGTCTAAATGCATCCTGATTATTACAATGAAAAAAGCAGCTTCCTTCCCTGTGACATTAATTTGTGCACACAACCCTAATTAGTGCACTTTGATATTCAGTGCTTGTTACTTCATTCATGCAAAAACGTACAGGGACTTACTTAAATCTTGTATTTTTCAGATCCTTTCAGCAGTTTAACTGTGTCTCATCCCCATTTTATCTTCATTCAAGAAACAGAGTAAGCGGAAGATTCAGAATTTCTCTTTAAGGGTATTTCTTAGTAATTCAGCAACAGCTACCTTGGACACGCACAGTAATTTATTTTGCCTAACTCAGTGGAGAACCTCAGCAGAACATCATCTGTATCTGCAGAGCAAAACTTACCCCACTATTGTTACATACAGATGAAAATGCCAAAAGTAGCGAACAGATTATTTTACAACGCTCCCTGAAATGATTAAATGGTGTAATATTTCAGTTTTTACAGGCCAACAAACTAAATTCAAGACTAAGTCAATGCAAGACCAGAAATAAAAATCTAGGAAATCCAACTCGCAGATTTCTCTGCTTTAAGGCAAAACAAGGTCCATCTAGCATAGAAGGAACATTCAGCATGGTAAGGAAACAAAGTAGAGGAAAATGCTAAGCATTCAGTAAGTCCGGATTCCCCAGAGACTACTGTCCCTAAACCTGGAAAATCCTACGAAAACCTATGTGAGGTTATAGCCATCTGTACTGAAGTGCTGCACATCTGCTTCACTTCTGGTTTCCCGCTCTCTGCTCCAACCAGGGGCTTTTTTAGTTGGTTGGGGTCGTCTTTTATTTTGGTGGTGGGTTGGTTGGTTTGGGCTTTTTTAGGTTATACACACACGTCAATTGCTTTTGGCGTTCCTAATTAACACCACATGCCAGTTGGTGTACGTTCTCTTTTTATGCAGATACATGCATATGTGCTGATGCTGAAGAGATGCCTGCTCCCTCCTTTTGTGAGAAGCAAGATCAAGGTGTACAAATCTTTGTAGGTATTTTTGTGTCAAAGGCTGGTTTAGCTTGGGCGGATCTTTAGCAATTGTGAAGTTATTTTATAATAGAAAAAGTACCACTCAAAACTTCTCTCCCATTTATGGCTTCTGAAGTTTCCATTTTGCACATAATCATGGAAGGGTCTGCAGATTACTATCAATCTATGGTCAGCTTCAGTCCATCACCGGAACCTCCACATGCTCTGAAACGCCTTCAAAATTACCTATGGAAAATAGCTACTAAACTGGTAAGACAGTAGCAGTAGCCTAAAAAGGGCTTTCCAACCTTAAGACGTTTGTGTACCTCAGTTGGCAGTAGTAGCTGCGAGCAACGTGTGTGTCTGAGAAATGCTCAGTAGCTTAAGTGGTCCGTTGTGTGCCACAAATTGGAAGCCCCTCATTTAGAAGGAGGAATGTGATTCCCTACCAAGTTCATACTTCAAACTGTCATAGATTTTTAAAATAAACAGGCTTAATACAGCCTTTTTGATTTGCATCCCAGTGCCAGCAATGCTCAAGTCCATTATCCAGTTATATCTGACAATAGCAAAAAAAGAACTCATTGACCAAGTATTTTTGAAAACTAAAAGGCAATTATTTATTACATATAGAAAAGTGCTTCTATTACAGTTATGCTTTATGTTTTTGCTTTTGATTCCAGGGGCCACTGTGGTTTAGGATATGAACAGTAGCACTGAATTTTTCATATAGACAGATACAAATAAAATGCAAAAAAAATGCCATTTATGCATTGACAAACATTTGTTAAATTATTTTATTTTCCACATGGAAGAAATTTTTAAAAATTAAACACCTTTTATTAACCAAGAATAATGAATATTAAATGACTGTGGAAACTTACAGCACATGTGCGACACTAAATAATTGTTCTATGCAAAGAAATCAATCAATTCTCCCATCATCCTGAAAACTTGTTTTGATAGTACAGTTACATCAGCCTGCACATGTACGAACAATAATAGGGAAGAATGCTAAAGACAGAAGAGAACTGCTTAAGGTGATACATAGTGTTAACAGAGTAAAACAAACCAAAAAGTTAGCTGAATAGGAAGTGTCCTGAGGACAAAATATTCTGGACTCTGTAAAGCCATCAAAGGAGATGGTAGAAATCCCATGGCTAGCTCAAAAATCCCAAATGGGACCAAAAAGCAGCATTTATACTGGCTTAAAGATGGATGCAAAGACCCAAATTTAAATTAGGGGCTAAATTAAAATGCTATGGCACATCTGTATTAGAAGAACAAATTTAACTTTCTAGCAATTATAAAAGTCTTTCACTTAATATTGATCTTAAAAGGACAGGAAGTAACTTAACGTAGGCAGCAACCCTTACAAGCAAATAAACACTTGGAAATTTAACCTTCTCTCACATAAAGAATTCCATGTTTTGTAACTACAAAGTCATAGTAAGAGGGTTTTATAATCTTGTTCCTTAAACAGGATTAATTCTCCTTACTTTTCAAAGGAGAAATTCCAGACAGTTTACCTCAGACTATTTAAATCAGGATTTCAGTAAATGTGCAATTGTAGACGGCATTTTTGGTCTCATCTCCACTTCCCTTCCTCTCTCACGTCTCCTCAACAGCAGCAAACTATATAGCCAAATCCTCAGTGAAAAATCAAAGTGTCTTTAACCATACTATACTTTCCACATGCCCTAGGATGAAAAACCATATATACAGACATATCTCTAATGAGCATTTTCCTAAATTTTGGGTTGCATTTAAGGTGAATTTCAAACTTACTGTCATTCATATTTTTTCACTATTTACTACCACATATCAACATAGAATTAATTTGATTTTATTCCGATACAGTTTAGGAATTGTCTCATTACTCAGCTATTTCGCTGCATTTTCTTCTTTGTTCTATTATCTATCTATTAGGACTATAAAAATATAGCCTACAGCTTAATAAAAATAACAGATAAATATATTAGATGATGTTTTCTTGAAAGAAGTTATTCAGTTTAGTTTACTGGGTTTTGTTAAAACCAATCTAGGACACCATCAACAAATCTATTAAACCACACCCAATTTATGTGCTTACAAACTTAAGATTTAGTAATATTAACTGAATAAACAGTTATATTTCACTGTATCTATTGTAATACAGTATAATTTAAAATAGGTACAATAAATACATAAGCTCATAATGCACCACATCTGCAAAGCACAACACATTAAAATGTGCTGCCCTACATTTGAGCATATACATTAGAACAACAGACAAATTTATAAAGCACCCTGAAAAACAATTTAATTTGCATGTATAAGAGATAGTAATTTACCAGAAATAATTCTTGTCTGACTGCTTCAAAAAAGGAGTAATGAAACTGCTAGGCAGCAATTACTATTGTGGCCTTCTAAGGAACTGACATTCCCAGGATTCACTAATAATGTAGCAGTTATAGTAAGAGACTGCAATTTATCAGAATTCTTTCTTTTTTATTGCAGCTTCTTATATTTTTAATTTCCTGAAACATTAATTAGTACTTCTGCATTTGTTAGGAAAAAATTACTTGGCCATACTTTTCTTTGCATTCAAAGCAACGTGGAGTTATCAAATACTGCCATCCTTGTTATGGTAAGTCTATGCTAGTCTTCCTCGAAGGAAATGTCAACTCCAGAAATTAGTATCAGAATTAATACAATGCCAAGATCACACCTGACATATATGTAAGTTCTTATTTATTTACCACAGATGGAAACGTCACAGAATTACTTCTAGCAAGTAATTCCTTTTCCATGTAACCAAATAGCAATTTTTCCCCAAATCCTTCTCTAGCTTCCTGTGACCAATACTTCAACTTGCCTGCTGTATTGTGCACTGAACTAAAATTAAATAAAAAATTTAAAAATAATATTCCAGTTCAAACTTTTACATTAAGAAATACACAAGCCTAAAAGAACAGATACCATCCCTTTCTATGGACACTGGGGGGAAAGAAAAAAAAATAAAATAATGTTCCTTGCTAATTCACCAGTGTAACTGCAGAACTTTAAAAAAGAACCCCTCTCCCCACTACCTGTCAATTGCTTCTTAGTGTTGGGGGAATTATTTTCAGTATTCAAAGTAAAGATAAGAGAAACATGTATACCTTGGGCAAAATCATTTGGAGAACAGTAGTGATTTGTATCTCTCTCTCACCACTGTATCTCCAGAAATGCCTAACAGATGAAGCCAGATTAACTCTTTAAAAGAGGAAGGATGTAGTGTGCTAATTAACAACTTGACCACTGGATGCTGAATTTTAAGATAGCACTCAGGACTCTAAACAGAGATAATACTGCCTTCAAAAGTAACGCTTAATCATCAAGTAGCAGCTTCATACATTTCGTATAGTAGAAAAAGAAGAGACACTAAAGAGGTTACTATCCTTATACAATAGCCACCACTTCCACCTAGTAAAAGAAATGTGTTTCCACATAGGGTAAAAACTCAATTCCACTTATATATTATAAAAACTCAATTCCACATGAGACTCTTACAGCTCATAAATAAATGGAACATACTCAGCTGACTCCAAAGAAGAAATCTATGCTTTCAAAAGGTAATTACTTCCCCTCTGATGATCTTATGTAATAATAAAATAGCTCTAAACAGCATCTTGGGAAACTTGAGAAAGTATACCAAGCGCCAAATAAATAATTCAAGTAGAAATTAAAACTTTCCTTTTGTTTGGGTTTTCTTTTGAGGGGAGTGATGCTTTTGCTTAAAAGTTTTGAAATTACCTTGCACTTATGAAAAACCATACAAGTAGAGCTTGCCACTAAAACCTTCAGTTACAAAATCCTGGTTTTCTTACGGTCACAAGAAAGGCAGCAGAGGCTGAGTCACACACGCAAATGGAACGAAGACCCTTCTGTAGCATTTAGGGCAACTAAAATGTTAGTTTCTGAGGGGAGCTTGCACAGACCAAGCAAATTTACTGGGGGAAGAGGGAAGGAAAAAAAAAAAAACAAAAGCGCATTGCACCTAGTTAATCTCTTGGTGATGGCAACCTTCAATATACTGGCTAGGAAGAAACGTAATGCACTTAACAGAGGGGAGTACATTGACTTTTATTCCCTTTAATTTAAAGCTGATGTTTAAAAAGAGGTCAACAGACATGTAACTATTTAATGTAATATTTCATCATCCCCAAGTGTATAGATGCAACTTTCTCAAAGAAATGAAATGCCTTTTCAGCAAACAATTAATAAGTTAGGCTCCAGGTGAAAAGAGTTCTGATTAAATGAAATACCTAAGCATGTAGAACCACAAAATAGTTCCAGCATGCTAGAATCACATCCGTTGAGTTTGAGGCTTCAAGATTAATCTGGTCTGATCTCTTAAGTGTTTTTTAGAGAACAGCAAGAGTTTGATGCATGTTAGGTCTTCTGTAGACGCAGTAAGTTTTATGTTTGCTTTTTCATCAATGAATCCAACATGTCAGTTAAAACTTGAAGCAAAAATCATGCCACATCCATAAAATCTCATATAACCAAACTTAGGCGGGGAATGAGACTCTTGACAAAATATTTAACTCAAACAGACTCTAGGTAGGAGTAAGGGTTGTAGGCACATTGTGAATATATCTTTTTTTCAGCTCCAGCTGAAGCTGAATACATGGCTTTATAGGGCAGGCTACTTTCAAAAGAGCACACCTCTTGCCAGGCTGGTGAATGTTAGAGCTGATAACTCAAATAGTGTTTTAGCACAAATCTAAACTAGGAAAATCCTTGCTTTAGTGGGGAAGAGAAATCACAGAAATCACAATCCAGCCTGCAAAAGACATTGTACAATATAGTTTTAAAAGTTGGAATTGGAAGTTGGATGGTCTTAAAAGTTGGAAGATACTGAAAATTAATTATCTTTAGGGGAGGAAGGAGAAAATGAAGCACAATTCTGTAAATTTCTTAAGCTAACAAGTAAAGGGTGAACGTTACTGAAAATATGCCTCCTCCCTAAAAGAAGTGATTTATTTCAAAGTACTCTGATGTTCAAACAACAGAGCATGAAAGTCCTTCAGTATGCTCAAGGAGAGACAGTACCTGAAAATCAAAAAAACCACCACCCCATCCCCATTTTTAATTCCAAAGTGAGATGTGGTAGCTCCCTATTTAATTTTCTAAAGCAAAATATTTGCAATATTCGCAAGCACAATTTCTAAATTGCCAAATAATGCTTTCTACTCTATAATCCTGTAGTTGAAAAGAGCTTTTGATTTTAACAAAACTCATAATAGAAGTTCTAAATCCTTGTACCTCCCAAAGAAAATTGGAAATAGAAAGACAACTCCTCCTTTTCCACAAGCAAGCAAGTGTTTTAGGCAATCTTTATTCCCTCACACACCAGAACTTAAGATAACGAACTTAAGCAACAAGAGGTTAAAAGGTTTGAGATTTTGGGGGAGGAAGTTGGGGTTTACTTTTGTCTTCCTAAAAATACACGGTTGACAAACTTAAAAAATCTGCACAAGGTAAAAGAGATACCTTAGCTACTTTCCTCCAGTTAAGACAGTCAAAGAAGTAATATGTTCCCCTCTCGTATGTATTGGTTTTCATCGTTGGCTCCATGCCGGGTGCCCTGGTGATCCATACTCGTTCTTCTTTGTGGTATCTCCAATCCCGGTTAAATCTTTCATTTTTAATAGGAAGGAAAAAGAATTTTTAGTGTTAGTTATCCGAAGTTGACTTAAACTAAAATTGTAAAGGTTTCAATCAAAACTGTACAATGTATTCAAAACCAAAACAAAAATTCTAAGATATCGTTATACTTGTGGTCTCATACCTCTTCCATACAATTATTACACCTCAAACTAATCACATATGAAACTTTTAGGTCTAGTAGATTCAAACAACAAACTTTTAATCATTATTTACTGTTTTTCATTTTGTTGAAGATAGGCAAGTTAGACATTTTGTAACAACTGGCACCTGCCACTTTTTCACAGCGCTTCATAATAATGCAGAATTCATGAGACAGACTTTTCATTTTCACTATATGAATGAAAAAAAGAGTACAAAACGGAACCAAGGTTGGAGGAGGTACTTAAAAAAAGGTTTCCAGCTTTAGATTGGCTGAGCTTCCGTTTTCAGTGTCTAACTTGTTGAGTGGTGTTTGGTTTTTTTGGTTTTTTTTTTTTTTACATCTACTACTTCATTACTGCAATAGATTAAATCATATACGACTGACAAAACAGTTTGAACGTACAGCTCTACTGCTGCTAATAGCTGTAATACATCTCCTCCATTCATGTAATAGAGATAAAACAGGAGATCTTCTCCATATCGGCCAAGTTTTATTGCAGCCAGCTGCAAAAGATTGAAGAAAATGAGGATGAAAAATCACAATAGATAAATGTTTTAAGACATACTATCCCACTTAAATAACACAAGGATACATCCAGAACGTGCTTTCAGCCTAAGCGTGTTGCAAATGATACTCTAGTATAACAAGAGTAATAATTATTAAAACAATCAATTTTTCTTCACTTTTAGATAACCTTTCCAACATAAAGGATACAATAGAAAAACGAACAGAAGTAACGAATCAGCAAAACAGAATTTTCTCCCTGTACTCGTATGTATCCTCATCAGTTACCTTTTTTTTAATTACAAAACCCAAACATTTACATTTATTTGCTCACTTCACACTCTATTAAGCAGCATAGCTAAAATTTCTTACAGTATTTCTCAGCCATCTCTGTTACAGAACTAACAGTTGAAAGAAATATATCTAACAAAAAAAAAAAATCGCTATTCAAGTAGAAATGAAATGCAATAGATAAACGTGAGAATATCTTGAACCACAATTCTGAGCTTATCTCAAGAAGAAATAGAGATATTTAATACGGCATTTGAATATTACAGTATGTGGACTATAAGACAGTTCTGCTTTGCATGAAGGGCAAACTCTTGAAAATCTAATGTGCTCTTTTGCTAATCATGCCCATTCTCAGTTTTGTCTTCCCTTCCTTTTTCTAAGGTGGAATGGGTGCATGATGTCTCTAATTAGCTGGTTAACGCACCACTGTTACTAAAAAGATTGAGGACATCCATAAAAAGCATTGATTTTGAACATCACCTATCTGAAAGAAAATTTAGAAAATTACTGATAATAAATTAACAAAAAATACACACGCGCACACACACACGTACTCACCTTATCCCTAATGTGAATGTTAGTTAAGTATTCAGATGGAACATGGAAGTCTAAAAAAAGAATCGGAATTGATGCAACTATTAAGACATGTAAATGAATATAATTTGCAAATATTAATATTGAATTAAATAGTTATTTCTCTCTTACCTATGTCTTGAGGTCGACAAGGTGATGATGCCCACGGTGATGCAAATTTGGGATAAAGATTTCTGAAGGAAAAGAAAAGCACGAATTTATCACAATTGAAAACAAAACCCAAACCAACCAAAAAACCCTCCATAACCAACCTCACAACCCTATAAACCATACTATACAACCAAAATCACTAGCTGAGGTGAGAAAAAAAAATTCCAGCCCACTTTCCTAAAACAGTTACATTTATTCATTTGCTTTTTAATATGCAGAGCAAGATTGCATTTAAACTGCCATGGGAATCTACGGGGCCAAGATTTCCTTTTTAATCTATCATTCCTTCAACTTAAGTGCCAGGGATCCCAACCCTTTTCAGGGATCCAATTTTACGCAGGACTTCCATTTGCATAGGAACAGTTGTGACAAGCCTCATGGGTTCTGATTTATCAGCCTACAATTTAAAAGGGGACAAAAAGCTTACACTGGCAGATTTTTTTATTTTTTTTTAAACTAACCAGTAAAGATTTTAATCTTCTTCTAAATTTCACTGATGACAAATAAACTGAATCCCAGCACAAGAACATCAGTTTATTGTGATTTAATATTTTTCTTTCATATAGATTTTGCTAACATATATTAAAAAAAAATAGAGCCATTAGTCTAATAAAGAGAAAATAATGAACCTTCCAACTCTGCTACAATGACTGATGTACTGAGGAATGAGTTTTCCAATTAACAGGTAAAGAAGTGGGAAAAAAAGGACTGAGCAAAACGTACTTTTGGCAGGTAGCTACAGACTGGTTTTGATTATCCACAACAGCATCCTATTATGGCAAGTTTTGTAAGTGAAACTTGAGTATGGTACACCCTATCAAATCCTTGTTTCCGTCTTGTCAAGGGCCTAATATTTACTACAAAAAAATAGTATTGGAAGCCTACCAAATTCCCTGAACACAACCAACTCCCAGCTAAGCTATATGGGCCAAAAACTACACTGATCAAGCAGCATCCTCTAAACTAGTTAATCTTACTGTTAGTAAAAACTTATGCTTTAGAGCCTGAAGGAAGATTTCAGTGGCAAAATCTGCAGATGTTGAAAATAACTAAATCATTCCTCGTACTGAAAGCATGGATAGGCAGTGTCCCAAGAAGAGGAGTGTCCTGCAGCTCCATCACCTCATGCCTGCCCTACAGGTTTGGTTTCCTAGGGCAAAAAATCCAGGATTGTACAGACTCAGGACGGCACCTCTACATGCAATAAAATCTGAACTTTGCATACAGCGTTCCCTCTATGATACAAATAAAGATTTACTAATTTAACATTTTTCAAGGAGCTACTGGACAACCTACAGTGTATTTGATGAATGTTTCAGAAAGCTTCAGAACATGAACAAGCAGCTACATAATCTAAAAAGAATTGAATGTAGTAATGCCGTAGTTTTTAATCTTTGTTTATGTAGGATTTTAAGTTATCCTAAGGAATCAGAAGCATATTTTTGAAGAAATACAGGACTGTACAGGCAATACATAATCATTCTTTCAACAACTGCAATAAATCTTAATCTACATGCACAGAAAATCTATATAAAACTAGGATTTAGAAGTGTTAATTCAAAACCATTAGAGATATATACAGAATTCTAAAATTTTGTTTCTAACAGCACATTTATTGTGCTAAGTGTTTAAGTCAGACAGGTATCTTTACCATCAGAAGTACCTCACAGGGCAGAAAATTTCATCTGTCCACATGTGAAATGCTTTTAGTTTTTCAAATGACAATTCATAAAGGAAGCAAAGGATGTTTAACGTAAGGCAAGATGGCAGGCCAGACACTGAGGACTGCACAGGCTGTTTGTATCTCTTTTCTCTAGTATAAAATAAAACCAGCTTTCCGATACAGAACTGCCTGGATAAAATATTAACCCTACCCCCTCCGAGACACTTAATACCCTAAATACCCTATACACAGAAATTGAATGTGAAAAGCTTTTAAATATCCAACTATTTACAGCACACCTGCTAAGAAAAAGCATACTGCTTATGTACAAAGACACACTAATAATTTGGATGCTGTATTCAGGAGCTGCAACTTCAGCTACAAGTTGTCACATCATCAAAGCATGTTTAGTATCCCTCTGCAATGTCGTACTAGTTTTATGCAGACTTTCCAATAGATATATTAAGCTTAAACTTTACGTTAGTCATTAAAACTAATGAATAACATTGAATAAAATATCCAACAGTATGACCAGAAGTAGGATCACTACTCTTATTCTGCATGCCAACAGCTAGAGAAAACAGCTGTATAACCAAATGGCATAATTAGATGGACCTGTGTCTAGGAACAGCTCCAAAATTAGGATACTGATATACCCGAGATTATTTTAATGAGCAAAGGCATTCTACTTCCAGCTGATCATCCTCAAATCATGTTTGAGCAACTGAGCAACTGAGAAGTACAAATTAAATCAGTATCATGTAGATCCAGGAGACCCATCTCCCAGTCTCATCTGTAAGCTCTGGGACTACCAAAGAAAAACAGCAACCCATGATCAGTTTAACTGTTCTTTGGGCATTCTCTTTACGTTGTGGGAGAAGGAGATAGCAGTGGGAAACTATTGGATTCAATGAAGGAGTGACCTGCAAGACTAACACTACAAGTGAAGAAGATACTGCATTAACGTAACACTTTCTGCTAATAACTACAGACAATTGTATTAGAAATCTGACTTTAGATGATAATTTTGAAATATTTTTCAAAGTGCCAATGGAATAACAATTTGACTAAGTTTTGATGCGAGCTCTACAGCAAGAATTTTCAGAAGTGGTAATTTCTGAAAAGTTACATCTCTAGAAAGAAATACGTAAATTCATGCCAATTACTTCAAGTCAGAAAAAAAAAAAAAAATCAGGAGCCATTTTTCCTATGCTTTCCTTCTCACCCTGATATCCACATTCATCAGTCTTCCCTGAACTCATGCATTCAGAGTGCAGCTCCATATAAATTTGTGAAACGTGGAAACTGTGTGTGCATACCGTTTGGTCTTTGTTTCATTACTATACTATGTGCAAACCTTAAAATGTGTACAGTACTCTGTCAATAAGGCTAACACTATGTAAATCTCTGCTGAAACAAAATGATGGGAGATTCTCAGCTGGAAGTCAGAGTACCAGAAATTAAATCGCTCTCACAATTACAGTCACCTAGAAGATAAGTGGTTTTGTCCAAACTGATCTAGGTTCTGTCTATAACTAGTGGAGAAAGAGAGGCACCCTCGGCTGGTGATTCATCTGATCTATCTTAAGCACTTATCTTACCATTAGTGCAGTCACTAACTGCTTTTCTCCCCACTGCTTCTACAGGAAGCCTAGATGACTAAACTTAGGTGAACTGAATGACTAGAAGTTAACTACAAAACTACATTTTCATTTTAAAAGTTCATTTCATATTTGGTGCAGGCTAACACTGCAGATGCTCTGTTCATTGTTACGTTAATATAAATTGAATTTACCCTCCCAAATTGCAGAGTTAAGTGTAGATATTTTCAAGGAATATTATTATTTGAAAAATAAGGTATACATAAAATTTATTAACAATACACTGCCAATTCCTTGAAGAAAGTCCTAAAGAAGTTAAGAGAATAAGCAAAGCCACTAGGTTTATTGAAAGCTTGCATAACAAGATCTTAGTGTGCCTTGAAACACAATTCTCTTGTTCATGAAAATTTTATTTTACTGTTATTACACTTTCAAATTTTATTCCGTAAAATATCTTCAGGGTTCGATAGTCATGTGAGCTAAGTGAGCCTATTATGAACGACAGCATAATAAAACCAAAACTGAAGATAGTACTAAAAACCAGAAACTTACTCAGGAGAGTTGAGGTTGAGACCTAGTGTTGTTAAATCACTTCCTAATGCAAGATGTACCATTCCTGGATCTGTCTCTGCTGCCCTGATGAATGTTAACAAGCCAATCATTCCAAACTGGTCCGTCACCATCCCTTGAGGAATGTTGGTAACCCGACCTGGGCAAGAAGAACAAATTAATTTTCTCCTTTCAAGAAGTGAAGGAATCAATAAGGTGATCTAAATGACTGTCAAAACTTTTAAAAAAGAAAAAAAAAAAAATAAATGGAGTGGCACATACCATCAGGTAACACCTGGATCCCTTTTTTCTGCTGGTTGTTGTTTTGCGTAGTTGAACTTTTATCTCCAGGAAACTTGGGCCCATCTGTGCTGGATGATGTTTTGCCTGATGTACTCAAATTCTATTAAAAATAATTTGCAGAGTTGGTATGATGGAAACAAACCAAAATAGAAGAACCTGTTGACCGTATCTTTCAGTCAAGCACTCTAAACCAGTACATCAAGTCACTCTAATAAATTACGCACTAAAATGGAACAAAGCTGAAGCTCTTGAGTTCTGTTGACAAACCTTATGTAATATTTACCACTTCCACAATATACCTGTCATGCAATAAGAGCTATTAATGAGCCTACCGCTTACAGTCTAAAAGGATAAGAAAATATTTTACACCTGAGTTTGAATACACGATGGATATCCCAATTGTCTGTGACTAGAGGATATTTTGGACTGATCCCATCATATATTTTTCCCACACAGTCTTGGCTCCCACGTAACACTCTGTGACGTAGCGACACATAATAACTCAAGCCAATTTCAGGGGCAAGCAACATACAGTTGGCACATTTGCAACTAGCAGGAAAGAGACGTAAACACTATGTCTGGCAAGAAAATTGTGAGGAGCCCACATGCTGACAAAAAGTATCTTCCATAACTATTATTTCTTACTCTTTATTATTCTTTAAGACAAGTCTGCATTAACACAATGGAATCACATTTACTCCCTCCTTCCTTACGGTATTCAACGCTAACAGTATCAGAACATTTTCCACACAATAAAACTGGCCACAACATTTAGGAGCTAGGCTTCCCCGCATCCCTTTTTTGAAGAGTTGCACTTCTCAGTTTTCACATGAGTTTGCAGTCACATCTACTATCTACTCATCAGGATTTATGCCACCCTGATTAACATACTTTTTGCAATTATAAGTAATAAAACAATTAGAAAGTAGAACATTTTGTCAAATATTGTAGGAAACTTATCTTCCATCCAAATTTTATTCCCCTTTCATTTGTAATAAAAAAGCAATTTTTATTACAAATCTTTCAGAGCAAACAGTGAAAAAATCCCCATAATCTTATGATCTAAGCTATATATCCCACCAGTCTACAACATATCCATGAATGCAATGGTCTCTTTTAACAGAGTTTATTCCCTGTGATTTCATTTCCCCATCAAGAATTTTACCTTGAAGCGATATTGTACCACCTAACTTTTAAAGGATTTGACAGCTTTGAAGAAAGATGTTATAACATGTAAATTACTACTACTCATGAAGCACCAACAGCGAAAAATGAGCCGGAATTGGTAGAAAAGGAAATTATGAATTTCAAAACTTGAAAAATATATATCCATTCTCAAAAATAAATTTTGAGATGTTCTTGCAAGTTCCTCCCTGGCCCCTCCCCAAAATACAAAAGGATACACAGAAGTCAAACGAAATTAAGAAAACAAGGTTGTAGTGACTGCTGGGACCATAAAACTCCATGAGAAATTCCATTTACATAGTTATATATGAAATGTTGCTTATGGAAAATTTGTTGTTAATTTAGAAGGGCCAATTTGAAAATCTTATATTACCAATATAGTCACTGCCCATTTTAAAATCTAATCATCAAAAGAAGCAAGAGCACTCAAAACAAAAGAAGATTTAAGGTTTACTTACAGATTTATTGTCATCATTACTTGATGTTGGGTCTTTGTAGCTGGAGCCTGGTAATGCTGGAAAATCTTCATTGTGTATTGAAAAGTCCTGGGACTGCTCACTTGCTGGTTTTGTTACCATTCCAACTATCATCAAAATGAAAGCAGGAATAATATTAAACGACTGCTAAGTAAAGAATTTTCTGCTGTTGATCTTGCTTACTGTCCGTTTTCATTATGTGCAAGCTGTACAGCAGAAATGACTTTCAAAAAAACAGGTAAACCAAAACAAAGCATATTCATTTAAAACATCCACACATATTAGACTAAAGCCTCTTATTTGTGAGCTGAGAAACACTCCGGGTTAAATTCATAGACACATCCACTGCTTAAAGAATGAAGCCCAATACTTTTACCAGGAACAGCACCTGTTTTGCACATTTAAATAAACAACTAATCTTTACAGGCATTATTAAAGCAGTATTTAAGGAAATCCACTGATGAAGGAAGGATGTACTGCTTTTAAGATTGTAATACATTTTTCCTCCATCCCCTAATTGCATGAAGAATTTCTTAGCATAATCTCTTTAGAAGCACATATTCTTAAAGGACGCCCAGCTAACTTGCAACAGAACATACCACCAATGAAATACTTGCCTGTGACATAAGAACGACTCCTGCTTTCAGTATGAAAACTGAAAGCATTTAGCCTGCAACTCTCAGTGCTCTGACCCTAATTTAAAAAAAGTAGGCCAGTCACATTGGAACATGGATTCCGTCTACTGAAAAGCAACATTTTTTTTTTTTTTTTTTTTTAAAATGCTGGTTAAAAAAAGAAACCAACAAAAAAACCCAAAACCAAACAAAAAAAACCCCAAAATAATCAACCAAAGCAAAGCCCCCCACACCACATACCCAAGGGCAAGTAGTCTTTGCTGAGAGACAAAGAAGTAATTCAGTGATTTGGTTGCAAACAACACTGCACTACCAAAAGAGGAGACAGAAGTAGTCTAGGGCCTATTTTTCAAAGACTTCTATTAGATGTATAGAATCTAATATAGTTCAATAACTGACAATATATATGACCATGTCTACTATTCTGAAGTTAGAGATCAAAGTTCCTTTATTTTAAGGAACCACTGAGTGGAACCACTTTAAAAAAAACACTGAGTTAATCTTGTTTCTGCTGTTCACCTTTTTCATCCAGAGTTATTATGATTTCTTCCACTGTATGAATAAAACTGATAACGGATTAACTGTGTTGCCTATTCTCATTCTATCTAAAAAATTGTCTGAAGTCTAATTTTCCTAAATCAGCTAAGCATGAAGGAAATACATCTCTGGTCAGTTTCAAACCTTTTTTTTTTTTTTTTTTTCCTTGATCATAACCAAAAGTGCTCTCCACTTTTTGTTGCTGGTGACAGTGTCCAGTGCATCTCATATCCCTACTTCTCTATTGTTTCTACCACCATACCCACCCCCTGCATTAAGCAGATGCTCAAGATAACTCTTCAGACAGTGAAATTTCTTTCCTGGTTCACCACACAGGCATGCCAACAGTTATGCTAGCACCAAAACAGGGAAATGGCGTAAGCGCAAGGAGCAATTACAGATTTTTTTTTTTATGCAGCAATACTGCTGAATGTTGAATTCCAGCTCCATGCTGGAAGTAGATCTGTGTGGATCTCCTTCCTACCTTCTATTAATTTTCCATGTAATGGCTTCTCTTTCAGAGACAGACAAAATCTCATGTAAACCACAAGCCGCATTAGCTCTCCACTCTCAGCGTGACTTTTCAGCATCTTTATTTGGGGAAGTGACTCTCCCCTGTGCTTCAGAGCACTTCATTTTAACTCATTTAGCTCTTTCTCACAGCTATCTTAAGCAGAGGACCCTGGTTACACCCAATCCATGAGGCTACTTTCTCCTGATAATGCAGTATCTATTATTTCTCTTCAATTAAAGTTGGAGGTATCTCTGAAAAACACTAGGTTGTTATAGTTAGAAAATACTGGGTCATTTTTTGGTTGGAAATTTGACAAGTGTCACAAAAATAACTTCAGGTTATAAAAGCAATTTTTCAGGGTAGCTGATGCAACATGCATGACAAAAATCTACTAAAGCAGTAACAAAAAAAGTATTGTGCCTCACACTAAGCTTACCTGACTTTTTTCCCAGACCCAAATAATAAGATTTGTATCCACCTTAAAGTTTTTCCTTTTATTATTTTTAAGCTGTTCAGCAAGAATTATATAAGACACAGACTTGGAATCCGACTGATAATAGTTGATGCTTACAGGTTATTTTTGGAAATCTGATGTTCATTATAAGAATGATAGTGAACAGTACTACAGCAAGTACTACCAATAAACAGAGAAAATATACAGTATGTTTACAGCTGCTGACTTTTTACACAATAACACCTCTAGTAACCAAATATTATTTCTAAAACTTACTACTCCAGACCTCCACAGTTCTTGTATATATGTAATTAGAAAACAACCTGTTGCCTAAGAAATGTCTAGAGTGAGCAGCTTCAGAGTAATCATAATGTACAGACTGAAAACCCCAACAACCTCTATTGACAGTGAAACTAAAGCAGATGAGTTCTAATACTTAGAAAAGCCTGAGGGGAAACTCCAATCACAGAGATATTGATTATTTATTTTAAAAAAATGAGACTTAAGAGCTCAAGTGTCTTGCATTTTTGAAAATGCTACCCTCTGTGTTATGAAGAGCAAAAGGTGAATCAAGCAAATACCAATTTCATTCAAAGAGCTTTCAAAAGTATAGTCTTACCATAGGGTGCCCTTCCAGCTAAAGGGTTTATTAATGGAGTTGGATTGCCACTTCCTTCCCTTCTGTTTCTGTCTGCTAGTGCTGGAAAATCTGAGAGGTCCAGTCCTGTCACATTTTCACTTCCATCTACAACAAAAAATACTTTCATTTCCTTACGTTTTTTACCCAAAGACTTCATTATGCGCAAGGTAAATGTAGGATATATTTTCTTTCCTCAAGTTGATCTTTTTACTCTTACTATAATTATTACAAATAACTACCGCCTCTGTGTTATAAGACTAGCCTAATGAGCATCAAGATGTTTGGGGTTTGTTTTTAAACAATAGCTAGTCAACAGTGTTTAGTAACAAGGTCTACTTATTTTGAATTAAAGACTGCACACATAAAATACAGGCAGACTATCAAAATGACAATACTAGGACAGGTAGCCTGTATAAATTTAAGGAGCTATCAAGAAGAAATTTGAGAGAAGACAACAACCCATATTAGCAGCAGCATCAAGGAGCTCTTTTGTCCTTAGATAAGGCAAGATAAAACTAAAGCAACTATAGAGCCAATGCAGTGCAAGGTACCTGGGAACATTTTTTGATTTTTATTAGAAAATACTACAAAGGCGAGGCCAGAGCTGCGGCTCATAAAGATGTCACAAGGTCCTAGGGGATACCCAAACCGTTCTGCTCTGTGATATCACCAACACCTCAAGTTGCTTGATAAATACAGCCACCTACAGAAACGTCAGCACGGACAAACCTAAAGCATTTATGCACAAGGATATCTTCCCCTCTCTAGTTCATTAAATTCAGGTGAAGAAGTAATTCCCAGAGAAAAATCACAACTGAAACAAGCAACTGAAAGGATCATATTATAAACCAGACGTTCAGAAGGAGTTTGAGATTTCAAAAAGATGCCTTCCCACTGTTTTTACCCTACATGTTTTCATAGAAAATGGATAGATCTTTTCTTCTCTGATCCCCTTTTCAATTCCACAAGCTATTTTGCATTTCTATCTGACTACGTATAATCTATAGTCATGTGATGTACAGTGAGTATTCCACAGAATACTTTCACTTTGTCTTCGGAAGTATTAAAATCCACTGTTACGAAGCAGTAACAGTTTCATAGCACAGCTATTGAAGCAGCATTTACAACTGAAAATTGTAACAAAGTTGCACTCCAACAGAACAAAGTATTTTCAATTAGATTTATTTAGTGAAAAAAAAAATCTCTCTACTATACTTTAAGACAACATTAATCAGAGCAAACTCACCTGTTCCATTAAAAATGTTACTTGATAAGGAGTTATTCATTCCAAATGCCTGATTTCTGTTCATCCCAAATCCAGACATACTGTGAAAAAAATCCAGGAAGTCAGACAAAAGGATATACAAACTCTGCAATTTCCAGAGGAAGGCGTTAAGGGGGAAAAAAAACGCTAGGACACTTTAATTATTTCAAGCTTAAGCAACCCACATTAGTCTACACTCAGTTTTTAATTATTTTCCTCTGTATTTCTGAAAACTCTGAGCAGCAGGCCCTGCTCAATCAAGACAACTGGAACAACTTAAAAATAACTTAGTTTTTTAATAGCCACTGTGTCTTAAGACATCTGTCAACCAATAAGTTATGACAAACATGATCATTACTCAGTAATTTCATATAGAAAAATGGAGCAGCAGTAAATGCAGTAGTGAAAAGTCAGACTGCAATCCCTCCATTTGCAGGTGGGAAGCTGGATCATGGAAGTGATCAAGTTTGTCATGACTCAGTTATAGGCTGAACAGTTACGGTGTGCAATCATCACCATGTACATACGGTACCTACTATGAGCATAGGCATGGTCTCTGCCACACAAGGCCAGCAGTTAAATTAAAGTTTCATATAGTTAGGCAAAAATCTAAATATCATATAGGACTACTGTGGTTGGAAAGACACCCTCACGAATGATCCGCTTCATTCTGTGTGAGCTGGAGATGTCGAGAAGCCCAAAGGTAGGCCCCAGCTGAGTGAAATTCTGAATTTCTGCCCTGTGGGAAATCACAACATTCATTTTTCCCCTGTAACAGGATGGAAGTTGATGTTTTAGAAGTTTCTGCAAATAAAAATGTCAAACATTTTCCTAGTGGAAATTTTACCTACACAGATTTTTTCCACAATTACAAATCTGAAGCATTTCATTACATCCGAAATAGACCTAAATGCTTCATTTTGGATTAAAACATCAAGAAAGGGAACAGTTAGCCAAGACTGGTTCTCTCCTGCTTTGTTTCCCCAAGGCGGTGTATCTGAAAGACATCCACATCTTGGAAACCTCGTGCATTTGAAGAATCACATTCCTGGTACCATCTGAATTCTAGACCTGGTGAGAGCACCAACAAGGGACAACTTGATCTTGAGGGCATATAATCTAGCCTGATGACAGTACTTCTCATGCTAAGGGTTTTTTTTTGTTTCCTTTTAAACTAATTAGAAATAACCATGTTAAGAACTGCAAGGATAAGAAACGGATTAGGCCACAAAATGCATACTTCCCTAAAATTATAAATAATGTTTTACCAATGTAACTATGAAAGGGAAAGGGGAAAGTGAAGTATTCATGTTCAAAAACCTAAAAACTTGCATTGCTCCAACTAAGGCAACCATTCAGAAAACACTTCTTGGAAGTAACATAATTCATACATCTGTCAAGGAAACACCATAAATTCTTTTCCAGGTATAATTTCAACATTTTGTTAAATATATCAATTAGCAATTGGATATGTACTACTACTACTTCTGTAGGCTAAGAAACTGTGGAATAAGAACTTGACCTTGTTCCACTGGTATTTCCTTCTCAACTTGTAAAAATTGTAGCTTCTTGAAAATGAGATATAAAATGCAAACAGTGAAAGATGAGAATTTTAATTCAAATGCTCCTACAGATGGGGATTTCATTATCTACCCTACAACTGAACAATACTTAAACAACTACTTTCTATACATATATCAGTCTCCAAAATCATTGTCCTCTGCATGTAGACCTTTTAAATATATTGCTATTTCAACCTTTTGTGATGCTCAAGTTTCAAAATACTTTAAGACGTAAAGTTATCTTTTTATATTATCGTCTCCTTTAGTTGCTGCTATACATCCCAGGAAAGAAAAGGCAAATTCAACATAATCAGATGCAAGACGCAGAGTCTTCTCGCGCTCAAGGAACATGAACTGCTACTACCATATCTCTATTGCTGTGATTGAGAAAAGCATTTTTATGCCTAACTCATACTGTGAAACTACAGAACTAAATGGCCTGACCCAAGTTTCAGATCACCATGTCATTAGTTTTCACCTTCCTTTATCCATTTTGTAAAATACTAGATGGGGTTAGAGGAGGGACCTGACTGCCCTGAGCTTGTTTGTACTCCACGTAAGAGTCAGTTCCCTAAGGAAGGGCCTGAGGGGAGAAAAAGGATGAAACTGGGGGCACAGAGATCATGAGGTTGTAGAACGAAGTCTGGAAAGTAGTCAGGTGTGCAAAGCTGTGACCACACACATTATATAATTAGAATCAACACACTTCTTACTACAAGTTTATCAATATGAACTAAACATAATCACAGCACCAAAACACAGTTAAAGCCTAATGATATATGATGTCACAATCTTGCCCCGTTAGAAAAAGGGCAGAAGTGACTGAGAAGCTTCCAAATGAGCACCACATCCTTGAATGAATGGCAAACCATTGTTCTCCATCTTATTCCTGAATTTAAAGAAGTAAAACCCTAGGTCCCTACTCCATCTGAATCAGTTAACTATTGTTCCAGAATAACTATTGTATTCTTAAATCTTGCCTTACTTCTTCCCAAATTCATAGATGAACAGTCTTAAAATAGAAGCATATACCCAAAAATCAATGCATGTTTCAGGAACACACATGAAACATCACACATCTTAAAGAAGCAGCAGCAGAAATTCAGTAGTCAGAAACAGAACTTAGCTTAAAGGCCTCAAAAAGCTTGTGCGAATATTAAAAGCAGCTTCAAAGTTTATAGCCAGGAGACGAGAACACACGAAGCAGTGCTTTCGAGCTTTATTCTAATGGATAAAAATTAGATTTCCAGAGCAGCATTTAAGCGTGTCCACGGCTGTAGAGGGATGGTCTCACTAAACAGCCTTACCTGTTCACAGTAAAAGGTTGTCGAGAGGGTTGCTGCTTTGGCATACATATTATGCTTGGAGAGCTTCTGTTGGGGCTGCCTAACCCTGAACTGCTCATGCTGTTTGTCCTGCTGGGAATTCCAATGCCCTGACCAACCTGGGAGTGGTTCATCATATTCCTAGGATTCATAGGCAATATCCCCCTGAAAGAGAAAAAACCATCCACAGAGATGAATCTGTACAATAGTATTTGGTTACTCATTTAGATTACTAACGTAGGATGGACTCTGAGCTGTTGCAACTTAATTTGTGCTTAGCGTCAACACAGCATGTTTGGATTCCTCTCTATAATTAATGCAGTTTTGGATTTCTTCAGAAACATCAGATGACCCATTACATACTAATCAAGTCCTTGGTCAGGTTTAGATAAATACTTAAATATTATGCATTTGGAAAGGTGTTACAGCTTTTTTTTTTAATGAGCACTTCAGTCCTGCTACCTTAACATTCTTATCCAGTGTATAACATCCATATAAAAATTTTAACCGTACATTTACCAGAACAACCAAAAAACCAGCCTCTTACATTCTGAAGCAGAATTTGCCAGCAGTTTGTCCTTTACATACAAAAAATCAACTACTGTCTTACAGTAAGTCCTATCTTACTGTTTCGCAGTATTATTTCCCTAACACAGGCAGTGGTCAATAGAAACTACTTTTCTTTTGTTTTTTTTTTTTTTTTTTTAAATTAACCAGACTGTAAACTAGTCAAGGCAAAATATGCAGAACATTTAACAAGTGCTCTGCAGAAAGACACAATTGCAGAAATATCGGCTATCAATAAATACCTGCTCGGAGATGGAGGCGTGTGAAGTGACATTGTTGGTACCCCTGTTGTTGGCGTTACGTGGCTCGGTAACTGAGTGCCTTGTGATAAGCTGCGATTTAACTGAGGGGTATTGTTGCTCATTCCCCTCATTGGAAGGCCTAGTGCACCTATTGAAAAAAAATTCAGAGGGGTGGAGATATAGAGCAATCAGGAACAAAGTCTTCTCCATCAGGTGTAGATGGAAACAATTTATGCTGACAACCTACAAAAAAGTGTAAAGACTGAAGGAAAGTGCAGTGTAAAAACTAAGTCCTTGTTTCCATAATAGAAGCCCAATCATCTAAAATTTAGCCCCATTTCTGTTAAACTCTAGAAAGGCTCTTTAAGGAATTTCTGTGCTTGAGTCACTAACCAATTTTTGTTTCTTTTGAGATGCATACTGGAGAAAGGTTTTAGGTTTGAGTTTTTGATGACGGCATGGAAATTTACAAATTATCTCAAAAAAGACAGCATTTTGACAAAATTAATAACTGCACTCAATAAATACGTTAATTACTTTTGAATAAACTGGTATATATTTGGCCAGTATTTAGAACTCTGACCTGTCTTGTTAGAAATTAAGCACATGTTTAATAAAAAAAGTTATTAATATTTAATTAACAATAACATTGCTTTTAGAACAACAAAAGCAACTTTTTAGGCCAGTTCTCTGTAAAGTTTAAGTTGCTTCTTTTTGATAAAAGAACTTCAGTGTCCACGATTAAATCAAGTTCAATCTTTTGAGAAAAGAAAACAAGCAGAATTTAAACTGCTCTCTATTAGCATTTAAAAATATACAGAAGATTTTTAACACTGTGATCAAAAGTATTTTCTACACAAACAACTGTGTGTGACAGAAGTAAACACTTTAGTGAGGTAAAAAAAAGAAATCACTTTAACTTAGAACAGCAAAAGATTAGCTGCTGCTTGTCTCAAAATGTCCAAAAACTTTATGAAGTTTCTCATCATTCTCACATCGCTTTTCTGTGTTTATGAAGTTTGGAATGATGTTCAAAGAAAGAAAAATTCATTTAGTGCAACATATCAGTAGAAACAAACTCAGCATATAAAATGTGATAGCTATAAGTAACAGTCCCTATTGCTAATGCATAAGGCTGCTGAGATAGACTCACAGAACTCAAAACCTTATCTTACACACCAAACAAAAGAAAAATTATGATGAATCAGCACTCTCCCATGGTTGATCACCCCTGCAGATGAGCTGAATATGCCCGTGTGTAACATGATTAAATACTAAGAATGTAGAGAATGGACACAGCATACACTCAGGCTATTATCATGGACAAGGTCTGAAGAACTTCCTATGTTCAAGTTTATGCCCATTACCCCTCGTCCTATCACTGGGTGCCACTGAAAAAAGACTACTCCCATCCCCCTGGCATCCTCCCATTAAGTATTTGTATGTATTAATAAGATCCCCCCAGAAGAAACCTCCCAGTCATTTAGTTCTCACAGTTGAAGAGCTACTGTCTCTCTGCGTCCTACCCTACAACTTGCAATCCAAGAAGTTTGCAATAACACTCAAAGTTTTGATAACACTCAAATTTATCCCTACACATTCAGATTAAGAGGTAGTGTGACTTGCTATAACAAGCCTCCTAAGACTTCATTAAATGCTGATTATATCAAGGTGTTCACTGTAAATATTTTGGCAATTTGCTGCATCAGAATAATTTCAATGAGCATAAATACACATTATAAATAATATTTCATGTTGATTAACAATAAGGTGGAATTTTAAAAATAAAATGGTAAAGAAAAAATAAATATACTTCCAAACTAGATACAGTACACTGAAAAACATTACAATATTCAGGTTAATTTTATGCAAGCATTTGTTTCAGCAAAGCCAGTTTTACACTGATGGTTATTTCTTGTTGTTTGCTTTCTTTAAACTAGAATTTCTAACGTGTAGGGCTGTTACAGGGAAGAACAACTGTATTCTTGCAGCTGGCAAATAGGGGCAGTTGAAATATTCACCATAACAAAAAAAATATATAGCATGGGCTATATTGGAGGCTGATCAATGAAGTGGCCAATTTCCTGCCTAACAGTTAAATTTAACTTAAGTAACTCTATAACTGACATCTTGCTAAACAACTGAGAGCTACCAATCTAAAAGCGCATACGCATTATCAGCTTTGTTTTTCCCCAAAGTATTTTAATCATAAGTATTGACTTCAACACAGAAGTTTCTTGCTCCTTTTTCTCAATATTTGGTAGAAATCAAACACCAATAATATTTACTTTCTAGTTTTTAGCCATGCCATATTAGAGAGGTTATGTCCTAGGCACCACAACCAACTGAATGAACACAGCTGATGAAAAAAGTTAACCTTAAAAATAAACAACAAATAACTGTGATAAACAGAACAAATAACTGTATAAAGATACTGAAGTAGTTTAAGTGTGAAAGGTTCAATAGTGCCAGATTCAGGACCCAAAGAGCCCAGAGCCAAACATGCCCCTCAGACTGGCCAGAAACTGCTCATAGAAATCTCAGTAGCATAATCAAATGCCAGAGTATATTACATGATCACTCATCAACAGCCACTGAGATACTAATAAAAAAAAAAAAAAACCCACTATATTTTTTAAACTGTTTGAAGAAAGCCAAAAGAAGCTGTGAAGGCCATGCATCTAGCAGACAAAGCTATTAGTTTGTCCAGATAAAAAAGTCCACACTTTCTAAAGTACTCTGAAGACAGTTTTTCTTAGAATCACAGTCAGATGCACTTGGCAAGGAACTTGCAAACATAAAAGCGTACAGTGATAAAAGAGAGATGTTCACAAACCTGTTTTACTTTTGTAACTGTATCTAACTCAGATACTCTGAGTCACTTTCTGGATGCACCTCTCAGCTACAAGGAGGTTCAGTTCTCAATGCTGGCCCTTAAGTTAGGTAGCTAGCATTACACACCATGACTGTTGCTCTATAGGTCTTCTATTGCAACAGTATACACGAGACTGGCAGGCACAGAAAAAAATCTTCAAGATACGGGAAAGAAAGAAAAAAAAAAACTGGTGCAGAAGCCAATAATCTTACTGGCATAGTTCTTTGCCAAATGCGAGCTGCCGAGTACGCACACAAGATTTAATATGCTCATGTAGAGCATGAAATATCAGTTATAATTTAAGATGTAATTTCCTTCCATTCCTTACATATTTTTCTGAACTAGGCTCATTTTGGCTCAGCTCACTTTCCTTAGTTTTTCCTTTAGAAAGTCACAGTTCAATCAGACATTCTTTATAGGATGATTATATTTGGATATTTAACAGCTATACAGTGTCAATATATATGACACTTTACCTATTAAAGACTGCAAAAAATGCATACTAAGCAAAGCAAAAGTGTATCTTCAAAAAAAATAAAAATCACACAAACACGAAGACATACTGTTTTTTACAACCACCAGAAAACAAAGCCATATGCATGTTCTCTACCCAAAGAGCATGAAACTACAATATATTTAGCATAAAATAATCAATAAAAAGAATTCTTACTTTGTTGCCCGTATAAACTTGCCCCAAACTGAGACAGCTGACCTGATGTTGATGGTGATGCCAGCATCTAAAATGTAAGAATAAAAGGTTGTTAAAGACACAAAAATATTATGTTATCTTGCTCTGAAGTTGACAACAGTATATTGTTTTGCCAAGAAAGCCAAAACAGCAATAGAAAACTCCTTTTAAGTAATCAAAAGTTTAAGAAACTCCCTGAAATATCTGCACAGTAACAACTGCCACATTATATTACATGTCAATAAAAGTTTATGACTTTACATGTATAAAACCACTTTCTTTTACTTGCAACAAAGAGCATTAGAGGAAGGAGATCCAAAAGCTTTCAGTTTTTCTACCCTTGTAGCTAAGAGACCAATCTTTACAGAAGAAGGAACACTGTTAAACAGATAAACTTCTCCCCCCACGCCAACATGCATCATACAAGCAGTTCACTCCCAGTTCAATGTAATAATATAAAACTTTTGCTATTGTAACTTACAACAGCAAGTGCAAAGGTGGGAAATGAGTGGCTAGGTAGCAGCATGTATCTAGAAATAGATATTAACTTCAGGTAAGATTCTAATGTTAAAAGTACCTCCATAAGAGCTAGCTTCACGCTTGTATATACATCACATGAATAGGTAAAATGTATAAATATCAGAAGTAATCTCTTCTGCTCTATTATGCCCACTGTAGACATCACATATTACCAAGTATTTCCATTAAAATCTTCTTTGCCAACTTCCAGGCATCACACAAGAAATGTGACAAACTAACAAGACTCTTAAGAGTAAGAGCTAAAAAAAAAATAAAAAAAATCATGAGCTATGAAGAAAGATTGAGATCTAGGTTTGTATACTCAAAAAGAAGGCAACTAAGGTAGGTACATGACACCAGACTTCCAGTCATTGCTGGAGAGAAAAAAGAATAAACTTGTAAGAGAAAAAAAAATAAACTACTCTCCATGCTGCTGCAGAAATGGAAAGTATTAATAACTTTGAGAAACAGGAGATTTAGGCTAAATATCTGGGAAAAAAAAGCCCTTTGCAGTCTTAAGGACTGTTAAGCACTGGAACATCCATCACTGGATGTTTTTAAAGAACAGATTAGACGTACAACAACATTAGGTATAGCTGATTGTTCCGTGGAGCAAGAAGAGGTATTAGTTGACCTAATCCATCCAGCTCTCAACAGAATATGCTACTCTAACCCATGGACAAATGTCTGCTTGTTTAGTGCAGTAGTCTGGACTTGGATTGAATTTTAGGATGCTTTCAAGGAAAGGAATGTCTGTATTCTTACACATAAGGGGATTTCAAGCTTTTTCAACTTGAGAGTAAAGAATTCAAATCAAAATAATTTTTACCGTCATAAATTTCAAATTGCTTTGTTGACTTAATCTAGACAGATGTAAAAATCAAATAAACCTTATGAACTGAATTTGCTAGTTGTCTATACTGGGGCCAAATCTAGATGGTAGAAATGCAAAAAACGACACGCAGGGTAGATACCAAATATCAAAAGTAGCATTCGTGTCTTTATATCACAAAGTATTTACAATTTTTTTTAATACATACAGAAAGCATGAGAAATTACAGCAGCTAATTACTATAGACCAACAGAAAATGTATCAGAAATATCACCCCAAAGTGCTATATACTCACACATATTGTGAACAAGTTGTACGTATTTGATAGTAAGCAACTACAGCAATAAATATCAACAGTTGCACGCACAAGACGTTTGAAATACTAAGACAAAAACTTCTGGCAGAAAAAAATAGAACTAAAATATATGCCAAACTGGACCAAAGTTCTCCTGTCTTAGTGAAGAACTGGCTGTGAATAACAGAACATTTTAAATAACCACCAGTGGCTTCAGCTCAGCACTCAGGTAGTAAAGTTCACAGGCCACATCTGCATCAGCAAGCAATGCCACCAGAGAGAAAGGCATTTGTAAAACAAAAAAAGTTGCTCCTGGAGGCCTAACATACACACTGCATGCATTTCTAAATAGAGTTAGCCATGACTAAAACACCTGATGGCATGGACTGGTTGCCCATTAGTGAGAGGAACACGTTTGGTGCACTCCTGGAGCATTGCTTCCAGCCTATTTTGATCCAGAAGGAATCAAATTGACTCACACCAAGACTGCTCTGCAACACGAACCAAAGCATGCAGAAGTGGGGACACTTGGGAGACAGATTTCAAAAGCACACTCCCCACCCAAACTAACAAACTGATGTTTGTTAATAAAACAAGTCAATAAAGTAGTTTTAAGAAAGGGAAGACAAAATAAAGTGTTGAGGTAAAAAAAAAAAATATTCAAATTTGAAAAGTTGAAAAATCCGAGAACGTGTTGCAAGGTGTGGCAAATTGTAATTCGGGGGGGGGATGGGGGGGTGGGAGAAAAAGGTATGAGACACCTTCAGAGACAGTGACATGGGCACACAAGCCAAAAAAAAACCCACCCAAACCATCCAGACGTTGAGATAGAAACAGCAGTCAAAAAGTTCTAATAGCTCTGGGACAGGTAATCAAAACAGTTAAGCCAAAAAGAAGATGTGGTAAGAACAGCTGCTCAGGGCATTCAAAAATTGCTGCAATGGCATGTAATATATTAAGCAAAAGATGGTACAAACCTCAGCAGAAAAAATGTTTATGTTAACTTGGATTAAAAAAAAAATAATTAAAAATCACAGACATAAGAGCTACTAGATTACTTGAAAGAGAGGAAAAAGAATCCCACTTCTTCTATACTGAGTACTACTTGACTTTTTAAATTCAGTTAAAAGAAAGGGAATGGCAAATAATATTTAATGAACGCTGCTTATTAGAAATTGGATTTTCTTTTGAAACATTGCAAAGTAGGTCACATGTATTGTGCCACTTGCTTTTACATGAAAAGTTAATTGCAAAATGACTTGCAGAGAAACCTTTATAGAAAACCATCATAAAGGCCAAGTACTAAATTCAATAAGTCTAACAACTAGTCTTAAAGTCATAACATACTTAGAACATCAAAGATAACAAGCCTGAAGAAGAAAGAAATAAATATTTCTGTAGATCTGTTCCATGCTGATTAACTGCAGCATTTCTCAAATCTCACTTATTCTCTCTCTAGTTTATTTTCTAATATGCCAAAAAATCCTCCCCACTATTAAGTACCTCTTTCTGTCATAGCTAAGTAAGGAGCCGTTTAAAAATTTGTCTTCTTTTTCTATTATTTCCATACAATTTAGGTCAACAAGAAAAGAACTAAATTAGCCAAAACCTTAACCTATACTACCAAGACCTTTATTTGCATTCACAACCTCTGAGTGACTATTATAGTCTAATCAAAATTGGTCTACCAAAAGTAATGAAGCTTCAAGATGAACACTATTAGTAGTATTAAAAGCATCCCTTCCGGCATTCTGCAATCATTATTTTATCTGACTGGACTACTAGCCACATGACACACAAAATATAACAATTCTCCAAGAGTATAGTTGCAACAGTGGCTGGAAGTTACTTTTGAATTTCTTTTAGTCTGCAACAGTCAAAGGTAATGAAAATCCTAGTAAAAACTAAAGCAGTCTAACCCTTAAGGTCACTAAAGCCTCTTGCAGTTAGTAAGATCTTTTAAGCTTTACCCAATTATATATATTTTAGGAAAAATGCTCACAATTACACCTGTAACCTTTGGGAAAAAAAAAACCAAAAACAAAACCCACAACAAACCACATACCAAATTACTGAGATCGCGTCAATGCACTACATATTCTAGCAATATATATACAATACCAGCGTTTTAAAACAAGTGACTAATAATCTTTGATCAAGCCAAGGACATTGTTAAACAAGCTTCTGACACCTATAGCTTTTGCTGCACACGTACCAAAAAAAAATCCACCCTTCAAACTTTGGCATTTAGACTTAAATCAATTTGCCAGTGGTTTACGGCTACAAAATCCAGTTGAGAAGTAGCATGGGATTTCTGCTTCTATTCCAACCTTACATGACTGAACTACACAGATTGTTTCCATTTGCTTTCCCTGTACATGTTAGGAGATGGAGGAGGCCTAAGACTTGCTTGTCCCACAGGGCAAGGAGACAACTGAGCAAGACCTTGTGTAACATGAAGGGTGCACTTTATTCTCCTAGCATACAGAAGGACCGACACTCAGTACTGGCAGGCTGAAGGACTGAGTTGATGATCATCAACTAAGATGTGAACATCATTTTACTCACAAGTCTCAAATGCAGTTCTGATCCTGTTTCTAAACAGAAGATCCTGTTTCTAAACTCAAACCAAGTGACGATCCAAGCAGACAGCCCAATTTTTCCGGACTGGTCCACACCAAAAATCAGCAAGCTGTAACAGGCTATCACGCAATTTCCTACCCCTAGTGATGAACGAGATTTTACTGTAGCTGCTTTTGTTAACTCTTGATGGGTTTACTGCAGTAACTTCATTTAAGAGTGTCAAAAATCTTGAAAAAACAGCACCAGCAGTCGCTTAAATTTGCCAGAACTGTGAAAAAACTGCTGCATTTTACAACCCTCTTGGGAGACTGGCAAACACAGGCTGCAGCCTCCCTGGAAAGTGGAGGCGGGAGGAGGCCCAGCAGCAGAGCAGGCTGAGGGGGTTCCTGTCTCCCCCCTGCACTGCAGCATCCTGCCTCTTCCAAGCAAATCCCCAAATTACCATGGGGACAGCTGTCTTGACCGTAACTGCTGCGGTAGCACACCTCAGCACAGTGGCACCAAGAAAACTCAATAAAGCAACGCTTCTGCAAAGGCTGCTACATTATGCAGTTATAGCTTAAAGCTACTTTCTTAAACACAAAGCAAGCTGAAGTTAAAACACATCAATCCGACACTAGAAAGTCACCTAAAAGCAAAACATGTTAGAATAAGCAAGTAAGTCTGTGAGTAATATCGGGCCTGATAAACGATGGGTTTCTCACAGGTGCAAACATCAGCATCATTTTGTATTTGCACTACTTTATTTCTGGTATCTGCCATCTGTGCTGCACTATTTAATAATAAAACAGCTGACCCACAGCCTCAAAAGAATGAAGTG